AATATGTCAATTACTTGATCAAAACCTAACTGTTTTGGGGCCATCCAGGTGGTGTGGTGATTAAGGTGGCTGCATCCCCCATGGCCGATCATATGCTTTGAGTCCCAGACTCAACAACTTGAAAAACACACTGGGTGCATGTGCATGCATGTCTAAAATCCTAGGAGGAGAATGGAGGAGAAGGGATTGCAGCATGGCCATTTCCCCAGGGGTGCTTTTTCACTTTCTCCATGCCCCCCTCGCTCTTATTCTCTTTCTGGAGAGCACACACTCCCCATAGCAAAACTAAAAACAAAAAAAGTAACTCTTTGCAATAGTGGGATATGGAAAAGGGATCTCTTCAGACCCAGGGAGTGTAGACACTCTGAAAGCACATTTGTTTCTGCTCAGTGGAGCAACCATTAGCCAGGCCTGTAGGCTCTATCTGTTTGAGCAAGTCAGCAGGTCTTCCTTCTAGTTATTCTTTTTCTTCTTGGCAGTCCTTGCTCTTCCTCTTCCTCCCCCTTCTCTTCCTCTTGTTTTTCTTCTCCTTCTTCCTGTGCTTCTGTTTTTTTCTTCCTGGTTCTTTTCTTTTCTTTCTTTTTTTTTTTTTTTTAAATAGGTACACATTTATAAATATTTTTCTTAAAAATTATTTTATTTAACTTATTTATTTATTTTAATTTGACCAGAGAGGGACGGAGAGAGAGAGGAAGGTAAGAAAGCAAGCCACCAGGTCCAAGACTCGAACCGCATTTGACCATGTGGGAGTCCAGTGCCTTTAACCACCACGCCATTTGCTGGTCCCCTTCCTGGTTCTTGTCCTTGGTTCTGTACCAGTGAAGGCTGATTTCACTAGTACCTGATGTATTTCCTCATCTGCCTTTTAAATGATAATCGCATCTATTGACCTGTCAACTATTTGTGAAAGCATTCTGGGGAAAAGCAGGAGATAAGTAATTTACTCTTTTGGAACACAAACTATCCTAATTGGACATTACACTTATATAGTTTGTTATAGTTTTCTTTTTGGAGGAGCATGTGGGCTAGTAAAATTATAAAGAGATGAGAAATATATGCTAAAAATAGTATAGGATCGTTTCTTCTAGATTGGTGGTTACTTGTTTAGAATTCTTAATTTAAAGGGCAATGTTGTGGGGACTTTCCATGAATGAGATGAAGGTAGATTTTAGAAGTCATTAGTAATTTGGATATTGGACTGAATAAAAAGCTCCAAACTGAAAAGCACTTACTAAAGCTCTGAAATGTTTGTCAATGTGACAGACTCTCTTTTATGGACCTCTTAGAGGAGCAGAGTCCCAGGCCAAATCTGCCTCCTGAGTGCCAGTGCCTGGCAGCGGCTGCGAGGTGAATTTAGAGTGGAAATAAGTGTACCATGCATGGGTTTACCTGCTTTTTAACAACTCAGAACTGTGATAATCCCACAGTCCATTTCAGGCCTGGGTCCTTACTCCGGCTCATTCCAGGTGAAGCCTCACAAGGACACCTGTGAGTTCGCTCTCACCCTTGGCCTTTCGGACTCCCCTTCCCAGGGGCATTTCAGTAAGAGGACATTTCCCTTGGGCTTGTCTGCTTCCATGGAGCCACAGAGCCAGGATTTGAGGTCTCAGTCCTCCATCTACCTGCCTAGTCTCTTTGGTGGTTTTAATCCCATCATATATGCTTTTTAAGTTTATTTATTTCTTCCATGATCAAGAAAGACACAGAAAGAGAAAGAGGGACAGCACCCCAACAGGGTCTTGATAGTGTGATTATGCACCCACTTTAGCCAGCTCCAGACCGTGGGCGTGTATATGCCCAACACATTCAGGGAGGCCTCTAGAGGCGAACCCAGAACCTTCCTGCATGATCGGCCCTGCAGAGTGTTACGTTTTACTGCTGTACCCACCCACTCAGCCCCTTACAGCATTTCTTTTTCTTTTCTTTTCTTCTCTTTCTTTTCTTTTCTTTCTTTTTTATTTAGTCGTGGGGCACTTATGTGTGGAAGAGGAAATAATAGCCCCATGGGATGTTCCAGACATGCCATGTCTTTGGGTTCTTCCACTCTAAGTAGGGGTTGAGCCAGCCCTTTTCTCTATTTTGCCTTCAGGACTCCTGCAGGATGTAGGAAAGGACACTTCCTATGACACTGAGGTTGGCCTTGAATCCAGAGTGAACTTTGCAAAGTACTCTGTGAGCACTCCCTACCTGAACCAGGCCACTACTCTGAAGCACGGCACTGAAATCGGTCTTCGTGCCACCTGGCACTGAGCCTGAACATTAAAGAAAGGATGAGCTCATCCTACCCGCTCTACTTAAATTCTGCAATTAGTGAAAGTAAGTAGCATAGGAGGCTACGCCACACTACCCCATACCATATCGCATCATATTCTACCACACCACACCCTGTTATACCACACCACATCACACCACACCACCCATGCACCTCTATACCACATGATACTATACATACCACATCATACCCTACCACGCCATACTGTATCAAACCACACTACTACACCACACCAGTGTGCACCACATCACTCCATGCCACCTCATACCACACAATCATACCAGTCATATCATCTGACTTTAGTCCTGACTCCAGACAGTGTTCCTGAGCCAGCCAGGGCTGCCCCAAGTGAAATGCTCCTCAGTCAAACCACCACACTTGGATATGCTGAAGGAAACAAAAGGCACAAATGTCTAGACAATTTTTACTCTAATTTCAAAGGCTGTCATTTTGTTCCCTTGAAGAACAAACGTTCTCTGAGCTAAGTGTGAGGATCACAGATTACAGGGCGTAAAATAATACATATTTTGGTATCTGCTTGAATAGAAATGCGGATGGCACCAATGGCAGAAAGAAGCAAGTTTACGTTTGTTTTTGTTGATGAACAATTATGAAGATGCACCGGGGAGGAGGAGGTGCCCTTGACTTGGAATACACGAGGCGTGGCCTGCAGAACGTGGGCCCTCCAGAGGGCAGAGCTGTCCTGTCACCATGCCCTGAGGCAGACAAGACCTTGTTCAGGCTGGGGGAGTAAGGGATCCTAGCGAGCCTCCTGGAGAAAGGCTCAGAATTGAGTGTTGGTTCAAGCTTTACTGTGTAGCCAGCAGAGATACCACCAGAAGACCTGACCCATCTTTACACTTAGGAATTAGGAAGGCTGCTTGCCCCATGAGAGGTGTCAGAGAGCCCCGACCTGGCTGTGGCCTCCAGTCTTCCGTCATTCCCCTCGAGCCATTGGGGTGAACCTGGCCGAAGTAAATACACTACAGTCTCACAGACACGTACAGAGAGGTGCCTGCACCAGAATTATGCAACTTGGGAGGGCAATCCCATATATTCTCTGTCAGTTTCTGAAATTCTCTCAGGTGTACATGTTATTTGTTAAGAATAAAAACCCAACAAACTGCTGAAATTCCACACTCCCCAGTCAGAGCTAACCCAGCAGTTTTCCCAGTCTTGGGTGAGCAGGAAGCCCTGACGGGCCAGCATCAAGCTGGCTGGAGCCAGGGTGGTGTGGAGCAGGCAGCAGAAAGCTCTCCCAGGTGGCTGGGAAGTGAGAGAGAGTGCATGAATGGCCCGAGGAAAAGCATGGGGGGGGGGATTCACTTCCTGAACTTGGGAAACTCCTGCAACATTTTGCACAGAAGGGCTGAGGGTTAGAGGGAAGGAGGCCAAGACAGGTCTGAGAAGGGGCAACAGGGTCAAGTGCCATGGGGCCTCAAAGGCTGGAGCTGCAGCTACCCTGCCTCCTGAATCACTTCTTGATTTACCTTTCATTTGCCAATGACAAGTCCTCATTTTGCAAACAAGGATCTAAATTTGAGGGCAAAACCCCACAAATAAGGCCTCAAGGCCGACAATTGTATTGGATGTGGTGATTGTGGGGGCAACAGTGTTTGGTTTCAGAAGCTGGAGGAAACCTGAGGCTCAGCCTGACGTCCTCTCTGAGGAGCTGTCTGTGCCTCGAACACGTAACCTTGTCAGATGCCTGAAAGGTAAGTGAGGCTGACGTCCTCAGAGGCTTGGAGCAGCTCTGAGAGATGATGCTGAATTTTGGCAAAAAGCATCTCTCTTGTTTGGACATTCTGAATGGAACAAGGAGAAAATGAGGAAGTGACTCAGACAGTCCACTCCTTAGGAAGTAGACACTCGGGTCTGCATTGAAGCCTTCATGCCGGCGTCTGTGCCGCTGACGGCCGCACTGTCCTAGGGGCCATTGGCATTCTCTGCACGCGCTCTGGGTCCTCCAGTCGCCTCTGTCAGCTGTCCCTTACGAACACACACACTGTATTATTTACTTGGCTATCAATCTTTCCGGAATCCGGACCGACAGCAATCACAGCAAAATCTTGCAGGAGCCTACAGGATGAACCCCCAGAATAGGTCCTGCTTGCTGCTCCAGCCAGCTGACAACAATGGTGCCCCCCTTTCTGGTGAGAGAAACATCCTTCCTGTGTCTGTTGTACATGCTGCCACCTCCTCCTTGTCACAACCTCAAAGGCTGAAGCCCATCCATATTGTCCCAATGCCATTCTATCAACTTTCTGATGAGGAGGGGCTGGTGGGGTGCAGGGGGAAGGGCCTTGTGACCAGAGCTGAGGAGCCTGGAGTGGGTGGGATCCCAGCCTGGGGCCAGATAAGGTTTTCACAGGGCATGGATATGAGCCCTGCAGGATGGATGTCACCTCCATAGATCAAACGATTCGACATTGCCGTATGCCTGCAACTAATCAGTATGATCAACACTGAGCAAGGCAGCAAACAGAAAGGAACAGAGACAGGAGCCCTGAACACCAGGCACTGCCAGCCCCTGCCCGCCCCCACCCCTCCCCACCCCACAGAACTTTCTTAACCCAGGACTGAGCTCACACCAGACTTCCCATTAACTGACTAACCACTCCATAGCTTACTTTTACAAGACTTGCTTTTGGGGGTGGCAGCCCTCAATGTGGCAACCCTTGCCCCACCTGGCAGGGCTGCACTGGTTCCCGAGGGGCCAAATACTCACCATGAGCACTGCAAAGTTACTGAAGTGTTAGCACCGGGTGGAGGGGTTGTCACTAGCCGAGATGATTATGTTGCGCCCTTCTCCCCAGCAGCCTCCATCGCCATCCAGAAGGTCAAAGTCCCAAACAGAGGTCAAGGGGTCAAGCTCCTGGACAATGTGCCTCAGGTGACCGGAATGGGGTGGGTGAGGGTCTCAAGGCTGTACGCTTCTGCGAAGACAGTACGTTGTCAGAGGTACCAGGTACAGGGTCCTCCCTCTTTCTACAGCTCCCAGGCCCCCGTTCTGATACAGGTCAGCACCCCGGTGGATGGCAGGAGGCAGCTAGCGCTTCTGGAAGTTTGCCCGTCTTGGTCTTCATTACCCAGGCCAGCCTGTTGGAATGGACTGGCTTAGGGCTCTGTCTAAAGCAGGAGGAGGTCTAGGGTGATAATCTGGGGCTCCTGGGGCTCAGGGGCTTCAGAGAATGTTTTAGCCCCTAGACACTGCCCACCTGCAGGGAGCCTCCTTCTCCATATTTAAAAATGAATCTATGCTCACTATCCCAACATGAGAACTAAACTCATTCATTTCAGGCTGCGCAAAGCCAAATAAACATGTTTTTCAGTTTAAATAAAGAGAATCAAATAAGCCTTCAATGAATCTCCCAAGGAAAAGCCAGAGCTGGGTAGGCGGAACCTTCCTCTTGCATGGATGTGGCCGGACCTCAGGGGCTGGCGTTTTCCCCGCACACAGACGCTCTTACCTGTGCAGAAGCTGCCTGATTTCAGCTGTGGCTCCATGCTGCCAGTTTAACCGAAAGTTACTCAGAATCCGCTTTCTGAATGGCAGGAATCACCTCACCCCCATTGGCTTTTTTTTTTTTTTTTTTTTTTTTTTTTCCCTCCCCCCCATTGGCTTTTTTTTTTTTTTTTTTCTTTTTTCTTTCTTTCTTTTGCCTAAGGAACGGCCTTGGTGAGTGGACACTGGGGTCAGCGGCTCCGACCCTCACCTCCCCCAGGCACGTTCTGCTGCTTCCCTGGCTGGAGGGCCCACCCACTGCTCAGACCCGAGAATAACAGAATGACAGACAGACAACTTCTCACCTATTTTGGCAAAAACAGCTGGAGAAGCAAAGGTCTTGCACTTCCTGGCGCAGGCGAGATGTGGCAGGTTCTCGGTGCTGGGGAACAGTTTTCCATTCTAAAAGGCAATTACACTGGAGCTTGCGAGTGGAGTGGAGTTATCAACAGATTGCAGGGCTGCAGCCCTGGCGGGCTGGGGCAAGCGCGCGGCAGCCGCGGCGTTCTGCACCGGGGGAGAGTGAGTCAGACCGAGCCGGAGAGAGCAGACATTCAATGCAATCTCAGCAGGCAGCTTCCAGAACTCCGGCGTGAGGAACGCCAGCCGCCTCTGCTCCTGCGTTCCGCAGCGACAGCCAGGGACTAGGGACCGGCCGGGAAGCAGGCGCCGTAACCATGGGGACTGGGGGAGGCGCGGATGGCGGCGGGCGCGGTGGCCCGGCTCCCTGCGGCAGGGTGGAAATGGTTCTTCCCAGCCAGCCCGCGGCCGGCGGCCCGCACC